ACTGCTTGTGGAACCCACAGAGGTTTTTCAAGCAGTACCATGACATCGGGTTTGGTTTGAGGGGGAAGAGTCTATGAAAGAAGTATACACTAGACATCAGGAAAAGGGGGGAGGGAAAGAGGGCTTAAATCACACAAAAGCAAGCCCAGTAGAAGAGACGGCACTGGATTTGAGAGAGAACTTCTGAGAGCCAGCTGTCCCAATGGGTCCAGTTAGGGTGGGGCATCTAACATCAGTGAGGGAGAAATTGAGGGCACCCTGAAGTACCTGAAAGGTATTTGCTAATCTTTCCTTTTTATGCCTTTTTTGATACACTGTTTTAAGTTTTAAATAAATGAACACAGCTGAAGGTGCCACTCCACTGCTAATCCAAAACATGGTTTGAGTCCACTTAGAGGCACCTGTGAAGCAGCTAGGTCTGTGATAGACCTCTCAAAAGTCATCTATTGAAATGTGCAGGTGAACAGGTCTACGGTGGCACAAGGAAGGTCGCGGTGAGTTGGCACTGACTGGACAGCAGCGGCATTGTAAAAATGTATGTCAGCTGTATGCCGAGCGCATGAGTGGTAACTAGCCTGCCTACTAATCAAAAGGCCGGCCGCTCAGGTAGAGTCCACCAAGAGGTGCTTCAGAAGGACCTGGTGATCTACTGGAACATTCGTTTTGCTCTTGACACACGAGGTCGCGCTTGGCCGATGCTGCTCTGTGCACATCACGGCACTAAGTGCTTACATGTATGCGCGAGGCCTCAGAACAAACCAAGAGCAGTTGGAGGAGGCCGGCACAGAGAGGCGACAGGCCTGACGACACAGGCTGGTCGGTGTCCAGGTTCACGGTGGACTTGGGTTTCTTTGAAGTCACAGCCTCTCTCCCTCCACTACAGTCTCTGCCTGTGGCTCTAAGGCACTCTCCGTGGGCAGGTCACTGCGGTTCTGAGTGGAGTCCAAACTGAAAGTGTATTTCTCTTCTCTGTGACGCAACATCCTGGTACCGCAGCTCAGGGATGGGAGTGACTGGTTTCCAGGACTACAGCATTTTTATTTCATTTTATATGAAGAGCTGAGAGCTACAGATACAAGCATACTTTCAAAAGAGTAAAGGTTAATAGCATACGTTACAATCCCTTTTATTTGACCTTTTTAAATAGAACGAACCCTTTATAAAATCAAGTGACAGTTAATACTGAATATGTTGTTAGTTTCTTCCCATTTCTTAATGGGACAAAGATAAGACCTTAACATCTCTGTCACCCATATGGAATACTTTACATAACTAAACCCCTTAGAATAAATTAGCTTTCAATTCCTATTAAAATATTGGGATGTTTTGTGTGTTGTCTCACAATGTAAAGGATCCAAGAGTCTGTACTTAGACCCCAGCACTCACTAGCACACTGTACAATAAATAACCAGAAGCTGTTGCTTGCTCTTTCAACCTTGTTTGCCTAGCCTGTGACTGTTGACAATTGTTTTAAAAAGGCATTGAGACAGGATCTCCACTTCCTGGTAGAAAATACAAGTGAAATTCAGTGCGAGTTTGAAGAAGTTTCATCCTTTAATAGATTACTTAGAGCACTAATTATTCTTATCATAATATCTAGTTTTGTGATTTATAGTCCTATTTTTAAAAATAAATACCTTTGCGTTTTCTGAATTGAAATTACGGTGGTGATGGCACTGATGACAGTAACAGTCAGTATTTACGGAATGCTTACACAGTGCAGAAGATCACTTTAACTTCTTCAGGTGTCAGTTTTCTTTTAATCCTCATAGTGAATCTATGATGAAAGAGCTGCTTTTAGCCATAGCATACCCCAGTGGTGTTGAGGCATGGAAGGCTTAGGAACTTGCCCAGGACCACACAGTTAAGGGTTAATAAATCAAGAAATAGTTCTGAGTCTAGAAATAACTTTTAAGACACCAGAATATGTCCAATTGTTAAAATCCAATGCAGGACGCAAAGCCCACACAATAAAAGCATGTCCTACATAAAAATCAAAATAGAAGCAATGCTGAAGTTTGTAGTGAAGTCCTTGGGTCTTGCAAATGGTAAATGTCCCGACTTGCTAACTGAAAGAGTGGCCGTTAGTGTTGGCCCAGAGGGACTCTCAAACAACCCAGAGGGACCCTCAAAGCACTTGACAGGCCTGGCACTCGACTTTTCAAAAAGCAGTCCTTAACAGTTTGTTAGAAATGCTGATTCCCAGGCTCCCTCTCTGAGAATCGGCAGATGCAAATATGAAGGTTGGAGCCTAAGATGCAGACCATCGCCATCTCCCAAAGCTGATTTCTTTTTTTTTCTTTTTTTTTTCAAAGCTGATTTCTGAAATACATTTTAGGAACTATGAAAGGGCTTCAAAAAGTTCATGGGAAAATTAGATTTTCATTCCATTTTTCCACGGACTTTTTTTTTTAATCATTTTTTAAAATACAATTCTTATCACAATCCATACACCCATCCATTGTGTCAAGCACAGTTGTACATTTGTTGCCATCATCGTTCTCAAAACATCTTCTTTCTACTTGAGCCCTTGGTATCAGCTCCTCATTTTATCCCCTCCTTCCCTCACGAACCCTTGATAATTAATAAATTATTATTTTCCATGTCTTACACTGTCCGGTGTCTTCCCTCACTCCATGGACTTTTTTGAGCCCCTTGTACGCTACTGTTGGAAAGGATGGCTTGATTTGAATGAACAACTCTGGCGGCTTCCCCACAGGGAGCCCTGGGAGCAAAGCCTTGGAGGAAGCCTGGCTGGTTGGGGAGATGCTATGAGGAGATGAGTCTAGGTAGAATAAGGAGTTTATGTGAAGGCCAAATCAAAGATATTAAGACCAACTGTAAGTACGACTTTTGGGATAGGAGATATCCTCATGGCGTAGTGGTTACAAGTTCAGCAACTAAGTGTAAGCTCAGCAGTTTGAAACCACCAGCTGCACCTTGAGAGACTTTTCTCCAGGAGCTTTCTACTCCTGCAAAGAGTTAATGTCTTGGCAACTCACAGGGCTAGTTAACAATTCAACCCTGTCCTATAGGGTCACTTTGAGTCAGCATCAACTTGGTGGCAGTGAGGTTAGGAATGAGGATTTTTATTTAATGAGCAAATAGTCACAAATATTCTTGAGTAAGAAAGTAGTTAGATGTAAAGCATTATGTAAGGAAATTTTCTCTAGGAATGCACTATTTTCTGTTTTAACTTGTTTTACAAATTGATCTTCCCAGCTTCCTTTTTTATAACTTCTTGATTTATAAATATCTTTACTTATTATTTTATCTTTTCAGCTTTTAGATCTATTAGAGGCAAGGAATACATTGTGCTTATAAATATCCTTAAAGAATCTAATGTTTTCCTAAAACAGGTACAAAAGCCAAAAATTAAACAGTGTAGGCACTAAACATTTAGACATACATTTATCATACCACAAATTGGGGGGTTTTTTTCCCCCTGCTTCAGACCCTCAGATACTTTGGGCAGAAGTAGCATTGTTAAGACTTCGCTGGGGATGACATGATCATCTTCCCACTTTAGAGAACCAAAAACTGAGATCCACATAAGTGGACGAGGCTGAGAACTATAATCGGCAGACCTCTTGCATGCCAGTCTCCAGTTCTCTCTTCACACCACCCCAAGTGAGCTGAGGTGAAACTCACCTTGACTTTGTCCTTGTCCTTTCCTTCCACTGCAGTAAGGTCAAGAAGCCCAGGTGGCACAGTGACTAGGCATTTGGCTGCTACCTGAAGGGTGGGTAGCTTGTACCCTACCCTCTCCCTGCCCACTGGCTCCGAGAGCCTGGCCATGTGGTGTCATGCAGAAAGCCCTCTGGGAAGTTCTCTCCCTAGGAACAGAGTGCACTGGGAATGGTCCCCAACAACAGGGTGAAGCCAACTTCAGTCCCTTGCAGGAGATTGCCTCCTCAAATGAGTAACTTCAGAAAGACTGAGTGGTGGCAGAAATGTGGAGCCTCTACTACTAAGCATTTAGCGGAAACTCAAGAAACTTCCTTTTACTCTTTAAAAGCAACCTGTTCATAGATGTTCCTTAGAGTGCCCTTAAGGGCTGCACTCTAAATTCCATTTTCTACTTGTGCTTGACGTGTTAATAACTTACATTAAAGGTATTTTTAGTTACCAGTGCTGGCAGAAGCTACACATTTTTTATATGTAGCTGCTATCAAGGCGACACCAACTCACAGTGACCCTGTAGGACAGAGTAGAACTGTCCCTGTGGGCTTCCCAGACTGTAACTGTTCAATTACACAGAAAGCCTCCTCTTTGCCCCACTGATCTGCTGGTGGTTTCAAACCTCTGGCCTCGAGGAATACAGCCTAATGCATAAGTATTATCCCAAGATAGCTACTACAATTAGTCAGAAGCATGCATATATGAAGAAGAACCCACAGAGAATAAGGGAAAATCTAAACCCTCTGCCACCGAGTTGATTTCAACTCATCGCAGTCCTATAAGACAGAGTAGAACTGCTGGATCTTTACAGAAGTAGAAAAGCCTTTTTTCTCCCATGGTTTCCGTTAGCAGCCCCGCACATCATCCATTATGCCACCCGGGCCTCTGTGACAGGCCGTATTGAAGAGTGTGTTTTGAATGCATGGTGGTCCGGGCATTTCACAGTTTGCAGGTCTTACTTAGGGACATGGCGAGCATCTCAGACACACGGCTGCAGCTTGTTGAGTCTGTGGCCATCCAGTGCGTGCGGGGGACTTCTGCAGCGCACTTTGGGAACAGCAGGTGCAGCTAGTAGATTGAGGAGAGAGCAGTGCGTCTTCGTTGACTTCATTGCTCGCATTTTAAAGGACGCAGCAACTTATTACCAGTCTTTCCTTCCAGAGAATTCCAAGGCCACCGAAAGGCTGTCATTGTTAAAACATAAATTAGAGCACCCCAGCTTCCCCGTCGTGGTAAACGTGGACCGCGTTTGTGGCTGCAGCCGTTCGCGGTCAGGGTGAAACGTGCGCGGTGGCCCTCTCTCTCCCTCTCTCCTGAAGCCGCCCGGGAGACCGTGTGGCTGGAGCGCGAGGCGCGTGCGCGGCAGCACTATGAGAAGCACCTGGAGGAGCGGCGCAAGCGGCTGGAGGAGCAGCGGCAGAAGGAGGAGCGGAGGCGAGCCGCCGTGGAGGAGAAGCGGAGGCAGAGGCTGGAGGAGGACAAAGTGAGCCGCCCCCGGGACACAGGGTGCAGGACCACTCTCCAGAGTCTGGGAGGGGGGAAAGCCCAGGCAGAAGGGCTGTGATTTATCTTATTGCCCCAGGAGCTTTCTTGAAAACCCATTGCTCATGTCGAGACCAGTAACCTATGTAGTATCATCCTAATGAGGCCGCTCTGAGTGAACAGACTTGTGGGGTTTGCCCTACAAGCGTTTTCACATCAGGCATCCATTCCAACCCTCTGACTGTTGCCGATCCGTTTTGAGAGACTTGGAATGGAGGCAAGGAATGGCACAAGATCCTAAGTCCTGCATTATCGGCTTCTCACATTCTGAATTCCAATTTTGGTGTTGGTACTGTGCCACTCTGATAGTGCTGGCAATCTATGTCTGTGAAGATTTGTTGTTGTTAAGCATCATCGGACTGGTTCCAAGTCACAGTGACCCCATGTACAACAGCACAAAACAACTGCTTCCTGCACCATCCCGCACTCATGGCTGCATTTGTGCCCATTGTCACAGCCACGGTGCAAATCCATCTCCTGAAGAGTCTTCTTTTTCCATACCCTCTACTTAGCCAAGCAAGTACAGCGTAGAAAACCCTGTGAGGCCATTTTACTCTGTGACTTGAGGTCACTATGCATTGAGTCACCTAACAACAGCCACCTTCGGTAAGAGGTTTATGCGAAGATTTGCACGAGTACATCTATGTGCACAAGGTGATCTCTGAGCTCCAGGTAGATTAGAGAATAGGCTCCCAATTGTAAGGTCGAAATTTCAAATCAACCCCTTGCTCCAAACTGCCTTAAAGAAGACCCACACCACCACTGAAAGGGCGTATCAATTCTCGTATCCCACTCCAGGAACGCCATGAAGCTGTTGTAAGGCGAACAATGGAGAGGAGTCAGAAGCCAAGACAGAAGCCAAACCGGTGGTCATGGGGCGGCCCCCTCCACGGGATCCCCAGCATCCACAGTGCAGGTAAAACGGGCTGGGACAACTTTTAAAACCACATTCTTTTTCCTGGATAGTAAAAGTGCAGTTACTTCTTTTCCTAAGTCTGTGTTTGCAAAACATATAGGCTGCTGAAATGAGTAAACGTCATTAAGTGACGCTTCCACCTTTAGAAGAAAAGTGGGTGATAGAGGTAAGAAAAACAGGTTATTTCTTACCCTTAACAGCAGAGGGCTTTTCTCTTTTCTTAACAGAAGTACTTCAAGTGACAGTAATCTATGCAATGCTCTTAAGTAAGCATGCTAGTTCCAACTCTACATAGTTTTAAATAATTCATTTGTACAAGGGTTTCAGGACTGTAGAATGAGTTAACCACTTTTAGATTTGTCTCTGGAGGAAGCCAAGCTATGTTAACAGATAGAAGTTAATCCGCACCCTGAGTTTACGTATTTGGACCCTACATGTACGCAGTCCCGGGACTCTGCAAGGAAATGGGCAGGTTCCTGAAGGAGAAGGGGTGCAATCCCTTTCTCCTTGAATGGATGTAAAATCTACAACAATCTGGCCATTGTGAAAGGCTTTCTTTTTTTGTACTGTAAATTCAAGCACCTTGGATTTTGCACACTGCATCATTCTTCCTCATTTGTATGAGTCTAACAGCTTTTATTTATTTTTTATGGCCTTTGAAAAATCATTGTCTTACATTCTGTCCCCAGGTGGTTTTGTTGCATCATCATTCACCTTTGTCGATTTAGCAGGCCTGGCCCACCACTTCCCAGCTTTTGGTGGTTCTAGAACATCTGGTACAGACGCCCCTGTGATTGCTGATTGCCTGATCCGTAACTAGCACCTCAGACCTAGGGCCAGTTCATCCACAGCTGAGCCACCACTGCCCTGGTCATAATGCATGCTTGACAACTCATTGCATAGAACTAGATCCGGTCTGCGGCGCAGCGTTTCCTAAGTGTGATAACTCAACATAGAAGGCTTAAAGGTTTGAAATAAAGCGACCGCATGCCTTGTACCCTCATTCTCACTTTGAACACTCATTTTTTTAGCAAAGTCCTCAAGAGACATCTTTAACTAACTTACCTGGAATCAAACTACAGATGGTTGGCAGCCCATTGCTCCCTTGCCAGTATCACTACAGCCGTTTGGGGTTGTGATCTCAGGACATGGGTTGTTGTTTGTCCGTGCTTTCTCATGCCTGAAATTCAGTATGCCCCCGATGACCCCTTTATTTGAAAAAAAATCTGAAAGCGTGTCACCACAGCCTAGCACAGTGTGGAGGGCAGGCCTTCATGTAGCCAGGGATCCCTGCAAAAGCTCAGCACGCGAGGCAGTGTCAATAGATGGTTTCCTTTACCTGGACTTGAATTTTAGTGTCTTTTCTGTACCTCACATTCCATCATCACATTGTTCACTTTGATGGTTTACTATAAATCTTTATGTTAGCAGTGCCCTGAGATCCCATCAATTAAGTGCAAATGTGAGTCACAGAAATGATGTGTGTTTTGCAATAAAATTGCCTCAGCCATTAAAGTGGGTCCCTGCTGCTGATGGAAAGCTTGTATTTATAACCCAACCAAAGAAAGCAAACCCTGGCCATCAAGTGGATTCCGACGCATGGCACCCCACAGGGCAGAAGAGTGGGTTTTCGAGATTGTGAATCTTTACCGGAGCCTTTCTCCCATGGGGTGACTGGTCTGTTGGAACTACTGACCTTGAGGCCAGCAGCCCAGTGCTAACCCTGGACACCACTGGGGCGCCTTTCAAAACAGGACCCTCGCAGGGAGATGTGCACTGTGAAATCTTTACTGCCAGAGCTAGCTAGACCAGTGGGAACTGGGTTTTGTTTATTTTTAGTTTTCCTTTTAGAAGGCACTAAATAGTGGGGGGGAAATGTTTAATTTAAAAAAAATTTTATTCCCCTTTTGACTTTGGCTATTATAGACCAGAACATCAACCTACCCTCTAGGTAAACATAATAAAAATGTTTAGACCAGTGGTTCTCAACCATCCTAATGCTGCGACCCTTTACTTCAGTTCCTCGTGTTGTGGTGACCCCCCCAACCATAAAGTTATCTTCCTTGCTACTTCACCACTGTCATCTTGCTACTGTGGTGAATTGGGCGACCCCTGTGAAACGGTCCTTGGACCCCAAAAGGGGTCAGGACCCACAGGTTGAGAACCACTGGTTTAGACTTTAATTATGTGCAGTTTTGTTCAGAGAGTATATTTTACGCCAGAAGGCAAGGTTACAACTCAGTCCCACAGTATCTGGGGAAAAAATGAATTTGGTTAGTTTTGTTCTTTTATGTGACTGTTACTGCCATATAAAACAGGAATATTAAAAATCCTATATAGATGAAATTTTAAGAATTATTCTAAAAGAACCTGACTAGCCACAAGATGTACAATAATGTTCATCACCGTAGGGGAATATTTCTGGTTTATTGATCTTGCTATCGGTTTTATTGAGAAAGTTCTGCCCCTGTAAACTGCACTTGATTCTCTTGTAGGCACAGAGATAGGATTCTTAACAGAATTTTTAGGAAAGAAACACTGTAGCAGCCATCCTCCCCATACCTGAAATGCTTTTTCCTTTATAAAAAAAAAAAGAAATCTCTCTGCAATTTAACGTTAGTGCCCTGGGTAAAGTGACGCCATAAGCCAGAGTATCAGCAGATACATGAAACCTCGTATTCTTTATTCTACTGTTTTCTCTTTATTGTACTCACTCTGTCACTGATCCCCACGGGAGAAAGGTGAGGCTGTCTACTCCTGTAAAGAATTACAGCCTTGGAAACCCACCAGGGCAGTTCTACCCTAACGGAGTCACTCTAAGTCAAAATCGACTCCGTGGCCGTGAGGGAGATTTTTAACCTTCAAAGGCCCTGGGTGGCACAGTCTGAAGTACTTATTATCACTACCCCATTGTTCCTACTCGGGAAAGATAGAAACTATTCACTTTCATCATTCATGGTTCCCAGTTTGCTGCCCAGTCAGACTCCATGATTGTAGCAACCCTTCCCTCGCCTCTCTGTTGTTTGCCTCCCACTCCTTGTATAATGACAGCATCCTGAAATGTCCATGGCCGAACAAACGGTGCACTAGATATTTATTTGGGGCTCTAAGCAAAATGAACTTTATTTCTAGCCTTTAAGCGACCGACCTTCAAGATGTCCACTCAGGAAACTGCTGCTATGAAAGATCTAGTGGTAGAGCTGAAAGCACCACTCCTAGCCATTCCTTCCATCGGCGAACTAGGAAACGGGGGTTCTGCATGTTGGCTGTCAATTAGCATTATCTCCATTTGTTTTAGATCCCGACAGGCGCTCAGTTTCCACCATGAATCTTTCGAAACATGTTGATCCCGTGATTAGCAAGCGGCTCTCCTCCTCATCTGCAACTTTACTAAATTCTCCAGATAGAGGTACAGTCAAAAGGAAAACCAAACATGTTCTGTTCTTTCTTTAATGCTTTAAAATTTTTAATCTTTTTCTGGAATGTCTGCAGATATCAATAAGCATCTGAAGTTGCTTTCCCTGCGTTTCTTAAATAGGAAGAAAAAAACTTCCAAGTAAAAAAGCAATAAACGTCTGAGCAGCATTTTCCTTGCGACAAGAACATTTCTCATTGTAGAACTTGGCCGAATGGTTACAGTTAACAGTGATGAAAACGGTGCTTCTTGCGACATTTTAGTAAATGAGTTTACAACTCCAGAAATCGCCCACTTATCCACCACAATGCAGATAATCTTTGTTGTGGACATCTATTTGACTTCAATCATACTGCCTGTGGCTTTTCATCTGTACTTTGGGAATTCCAGGCTTTGCCTTTCTGAAAACAAAACAAACAGGAGTCTTTTTAAATGATTCATGTTGGTAAATTTCACTTTGCCAATTTATGTCTCATTTAACCAAACGTTCCTTACTGCATTTCTCGTGTGTGTGTGTGTGTGTGTGTGTGTGGTTGGCTTTTGGTGTCCATTCATTTACTCTTACGGAGTTTGGCCTAATCTCAACAACATCGTCATCATTTCCGTTTCCTGACAAGTTGAATGACCGTAGTTTTCCAATTAAAATTTCATTTGAATTTTTAATTGTGTTCATCCCGTGGATTTACAGTACATGAATAGTGAGTTTAATTATGAAATGAAATTATTTTATATTCTTAAATATCATCGAAGGAAAGGCCAAGCTTTTAACATAAACTTCTTGTTCTCTGAAATGATTTTGAGAAACCAAAGAATGATTGTGCAATATAAAAGAACACAACTTTTCAAAAGTAGCAAATTGTGGTTACTTTGAGTAGTTTATTAAGAAACTGATTGGGAAAAGTTCCCTGTTTATAGTCTTTTAAAAGAATGTAATGTGTGCATGTTGCGTATGTATGCATATTTATATATTTTGTATTGTATAAAAATTGCTGTGCTTTCATTGTAATGTATCTTATTCCATAAGTGTTGATGTGATTTTATAACTTAACTCTTAAAGTCGTAAATGTTTGAACAACTTCTTATTCTTGTCTTTTAACAAATTATTTCTTCTTTTTTAACCTATTTTACCTAAATCATTTCTTCAAAATCAATAGTAGCTATATAGTCAAGAGGTATTCACATGTTAGAGCAATTATTGTGGATTAAAATTCCTTTCCATAAATAGCTTTTCTTTTCAAACCTATTCCCTTAATATAATGTAAACTACAACCTACAAATGCTATTCTTACAATTGTCTGTTCGTGCTGGCTTTGGAATTGGTCACCTATTCCTTTAATTTTGTATTTTTGTGAACCTGGTTGGAGACAAACTATAATTAGGATTTCAGTATTAAACCATTTTTACTGCCTTCTATAGTCCATAGTTGTAATCGGGGCAAGGGTAGATGTGGGGGTAAGCTGTGAGCTGGACAATATCCAATCCGGGCTTCTTTGGAATACCAATGCACCATTGTCTGTCAGAGTTAGAGATTAGCAGGCCTTTTATGAACTCTGCATGAGCACATCTGATTGGGTATTCTTAAGATAATAGAATCTTGGAACTAGGAATGATCTGTTAGATGGATCATTTACTCCGTTTGGGATAGTAGAGCCATTAAGATACCAAGCACCTGACTTAATACCCCACAGACTCATTGTTACAGAAGTAGGACTAGAACAGAGACCACCATGTTGTTGCTAAGCTGCATTTTCAGTACTTACCATCATATAGCCTTTGTTAGTCTGGGTAGACTAGAGAAACAATTCATATGTGCGTAAGAGAGTACTTTATATATCAAAGAGCTATTGTACATTAAGAAAACATCCCAGTCCAGGTCAAGTACATAAATCCAATATTAGTCCATATGTCCGTTACCAGTCTATAAATTATTCTTCAGAGTCATGCAATGATGCCAAATTCAAGAAGGAAAAATCACAGGCCAGTGGGTGGAAAGTCTTGTGGATCCGTGGCAGTGGAAGCCTCTCAGCCCTGGCAGGGGTCTCCACATAGCTCCTCCAGCTCAAGGGCTCTAGCTTGTATCTTGTCACAGGAAGACAAAGCAGAGAGTCTACCATGCCCCCGTGGAGGAGTACAGGAGTTCCCAGAATCCTCAGGAGAAGACCATGCCCACACGAAGACGTGATTGGCTATGGCTTGATTGACAGCTAAACGCTACCCCTTCACAAGTTGACAAGAGTAACTACCACAATCCTCCTTTGGTTTGACGCTCAACTGCACACATTTCTTTGTTGAGTAATGCTAGAAGTGAAGAGCTAGGACACTGAGGTTCAGGATGGTTCAACAGCCAGTGTACAGGGGCTGAGGCCAGAAAGCAACCCCTTGAATCTTGATTCAGGTCTAGGAAATTAGTACTAAGCTGGGTAAATGGGGCAGGAAGAGGAACATGACATTTGGAAGTTCTTTCCCCTTACCCCTGAGCAAAAGGACTGTGAACCAATTAGTGGGCTTACCAGCCTGGGTCAACCTGCAAAGAAGGTTCTGTTCATCCAGGAGTTCCCACAGAGCCCAGGAAACTACTTGTTTATTCACTTCTTTTCAGATTTCAGAGTTTATGTACTTATTTGGGATTTTCTTTAGAAAGCCTTTATATATATATACACATATACATACATATGTATATATATATAAAGTTAAACGAAGCCCTTAGTAGGATATAACAGACGAAGATCTTTGTAGAATAATTGAAATTATTCTGAATTGGAATGTCTCTAATATTTAAGAAACTTTAATTCATGTATGTTTTTTTTCCTGTTTTTATAACTTGGCTAACTATAGTTTATAGTCTAATTAGAGAGCCTTTGTATTGAATTATTAAATTTGAAGTCTTTATAGACAAATTTGTCTGGAGGCATACATCATTACTAACTAGTTGGCCTTAGCACAGACCTTAAAGATGGTAATAAATATAGATTCTCTTACCACCAGGGTGGACATTCATCTGGAATGCTTCCGCATAGCCCTAGTGGTTATTAAATTACTGAAATATTATCAAGTCTGTTGATAATAGCTCACTGAGCTATGCTGCACTGGGCCCTCAGAGCTAATGGCCAGTGTTCATTTTCTATGCCTGACCAGTTTTTAAGTGTTTTTATTATTATGCCTAAATTATCGTTATTTAATTGTCTTGCATGGAAAGAAAGCCCTGATAATTAAAGATGTCTATAATTAATAAAGCAGGGAGAGTGTTAACCATTAGACATATTTGTGTTAAAAAAATCTTTTTTTTTTCCTCAACAAAGTTATAGAGAGCATTAAGAAGAAATTTTTTAAAAAAGCAAAGTTACCTACTTTTCACTTAAAATTAGCCAGTACTTTCCCCCTGAAATCTATGGCAGATTTCAGCCAAACTGAGTTCCATCAGTATGCTCACAGGCCATGATAGCGTTTTCTGCTTTTGTTTTTATTTTAATTTAGTGCCAACAGTTGTAAGATGGAAGATGTCCTCTAACATTTTACTTCCCATTTACAATGAAAATTTTGGATTTGGCCCCAGTTTTACACAACACTCATTATCGGAAGGGGATCATCACTTCCTGTTTACAGGAGGGATGTCATCGTGCTGGTATCCATGTCTGTTTGGCCCGGATCACTATTTATATGAACCTGCACGGCCCAGCACATCTTAAGAGTCTGTCTCCTCTGCTCCAGATAGCCCATCGTGGGAACTGTCAACATCTCATCTCTACAAACCAAGCCAAACTGAGTGCCATCAAGTCGATTTGGGCTCATAGGCCTCATCTTTCAGGGCTTACGTGGGGCCAGTATTGTAAAGTGGCTCCAGCAGATCTCTCTCTTCAGGAGCTCTGTAATCTAAAAGTCAAAGCCCTCTAGTCGGAAAGAGCAATAATACGAACTCTACTAATCTGTCCTGCAGTTAACCGTGTGGAAGAGATCTGTGTGTGTGTGTGTGTGTGTGTCCTGATCAGGGCATAGTAAGAGTATGGTAGACATGGAGGCCTGGCTCTCCTAGCGAAGCCATTCGTTCCTAGTCTGGGGAAGCATAAGACAAGTCCCTGCAGCCATGGTTAAAAACAAGTTAAAGGGGGATTTCATTGGCCTTCATTTGAGGCAAATTCTTTGATGCGTTGAAGACTCATGGAAGCTTCTTAATGGAAGGGAGGGGGCGCGGAGTCTTGTCTTATAATAACCAGCTCTGTAGTTCTAAGCTAAGAATTACTATCTTCCTCTCTACTGAAAATCTAGTTCTGTTGAAGATTTCCAGTTCATCCTAATTACATTTTCTCTGTTGACATTTCAGTCTGTGAATGTATCATAATTTTAAGCCTCTGTTTATGCCACTCTTATTACAACACATGTGTGCATACACACACAGTTACGGGGCAGTATTATCATTATAATAACTACTCTCCCCTGGTGGGTTCTACTATGTAACTGTGACACATTCTCAATAACAGATCTTCATGTTAATATTTTAATGTCAAATTAGACATCAATTTAATCATGAAGATTTTCCTAAAACAGAAAATGTAATCAATGATTCACTAATTCTTAAGTTCACCTGATTCTCGATCCAAATTACCATTTGTTGAAAATAAAGATAGTTTTGAGTGCCCATGCCACTCTGTTTCATAGTGATCCTTCAGGACAGTCTATAAATCTTCATGGTGGCGACCCTCATCACTTTCCCCCAGAGCAGCTGGTGATGGAATAGCTGCTGTTGTGGTTGGCAGGTCAGCAGGTAACCCACTATACCACAAGGCTCCTTTTCTTTCAAGTAGGAAGTCTTGTATCTGTGTTATTTAGCATTCTGTGTCTTTTATTTACCAAAATAAATTTCCTAGAATTAATTTAAAATATCACCTTAAGTGATTATTTGTAGGAATTTTTTCAAGATTCTCTCCTGCTCTTTTTGGAAAATAGCCCCAATATTTTCATGAGCTATTATTGGAAATGAACATTATAAATCAACAAAGTAATTGACTTATAATTGGCCTGCCTCTCATCGGTGATCTTGCCTAGTCTGTAATATAATTTGGGACAATACTTAATGGCATTTTTGTTAAAAAATTGTTTTCTAGATTCTTCAAGTACCTGCTAGTAATCTCCAGGATTATATTTCTTGTTGGGTTTTGTCTTGCTTCAGCCAAACTTTTTACGCTGTAGACAGGGGCCTGTCTACAGGGGCCTGAAAGAACCTGGCTTACTGAGTAGACAAGTCAAAAAGGGAAACCATGCCAAATTCCGTACAAGTCCTCTTCCAAAATACTGCATCTAGCCTACCCCCAACCCTGCCCAGTTCCCAAGTAACTCACAGAGAGCTGGCATAATTTAATGAGAACTTTTCCTATCTTTTCTAGAAATCCTCTCTCCCATTAATCCACCAAAGCCTCTGTTGGCATGTATTGTTAAAGGTCCTTAGGAAGCCCTTGGCTTGAGTCTTGTGCCAACAGCCTATCCTGACTGTAGCCAGATAGATACAGCCTGGGGTCAGCAGTGATACATGCCAAGCCTGTAGCTGAAATATTTCTGTTTCATTATCTACTGACTACTCAGGGAAAGAGTTTTTGAAAAACCAGATCTGCAAAACGAATGTAGAGCTTGCCACCAAATCATCATCTTTCAGAAACGCAGTCACAGCATGAGTTAGCTGTCCATTCAGGGCAGGGTCCCTGCCAGCTCTCCTCCCCGGAGAGCCGGCTCTCTCTCCCAGGCCCAGCACATGGAAGCGATAGGAGTGACGTTTGCTCGTTCGTTTGTTCGTTGGTTCGGGCCCTCTTGGCCCTGGAAAGCATGCATCTAATGTCTTGCTTATGTGGTGACGTTTAGCTCGCCGCCTGCAGCTCAGCCCGTGGGAGAGCAGCGTTGTTAACAGACTCCTGACGCCCACACATTCGTTCCTGGCCAGAAGCAAAAGCACTGCTGCCTTGTCTGGAGATGCAGGTAAAAGTCTCAGTGGGAACGTCCCCGGTGAGGTCAAGGTTTTCTTTGGAAGGATGTCTCGGCAGCCAGTAATCACCCAGCTAGAATCTAATCACATTTCGGCTTTTCCTAATGTGTGCTTCTCTCTTCTCTGGGTGGAACAGCTTTGGAAATGTGTCTGTTGGTGTTGGTTGCCTGCCCCCTGGCGTTGTTTCCTTGTCTACGTCTTAGCATCTTATCTGGACACCAGATGCCAGGCAGATGAAGGAGGTCCCTCCCTGGGATCAGATGGCTACAGACACTTCAGTCTGTTTGTAACGTTACCTGAAAACAGCAGTATCTCTTACCTGCCTTTCTTTCTGCCCCCGCATCTGAGCAGATGGGCAGAAGTAGAAATAATCGACTATTCAATACTAATGCACGGACTTGGACATAAAATCAAAGCTCAAACTTATTATTGAAGCGGGGCGTTTCTTACTGTGGCCTGGCTTATCCTCCCAGTGCTCCTCTGTTCTGTATCATCTAGAAATAATGCCCTTCCCAAACACTGAGGGATGGGAGAGGGCTGAGGACCGTGCTTATTTGTTACATTCTCTGAAATTAGTGAAACGTGCCAAGCGCTGGTCTTTATCACTGTTTATAAGGCGCCATCTTTTAAAAATACAAACATGTCTCCAGGAGCCAATTAGTTTAATGAGATATTATTGTAGAGGCTATTTCTAGTTGGAAAGGTAAGTAGTAGGCTTTTGGAAACATCTCCCTGGTGGTGGGTTTGTTCAGGTTTGGAATCAATCCCTGCATTTATCTTTGGGCACATTTGCCATATCTATGTGACCACGCTGCCAGCCTTTGGTTTTGACTGCTAAGAAATCGCATGCCTTCTTTACACAATTCCTCTTAACAATAATTTGCCTTTGAAAGCCAAACTTGCTGCCACTGAGTCAATTCCAACTCATACAGGGTCCAACTCAGACCCTGTAGGGCAGAGTAGAACTGTCCCTGTCGGTTTCTGAGACTGTAAATCTTTACAGGAATAGAAGGTGTCACCTTTCTCCCAAGGAGCAGCTAGTGGCTTTGAACTGCTGGCCTTATTGTTAACAGCCCAATGCTTAACCCACTATGACACCCGGGCTAACTCTTCTGTGTTAGCTCTCTGTCAATAATGGGCCTTGGGGTTGTACGGTGTCTTTTGTACATCCTGCCCAGTGAACTAATGAGTATGAACTCTGATCCTCCCAGTACCCTTGGGAAGCAGTCAAGAGAGCAAGTGCGGGTCTCCCCACCACCTACCTGTGGCAAGCGAGCACAGTGACGATAGTGTCTATAGCAGAGCCGCTTCAAAACCAGCGGGCTGATTCCATCTTCAGTGCCTGGGTGATGTTCTCGCAGGATTGTGCAGTCAACGAGCTGAATGAACCCCAGGGCTCCGTGCGCCCTCCTGTTAGAGCAGTCACTTACTCCTTCTGAGATTTCCCCAGAGGAAAATGTATGACTCGTTTCAAAATGGTTTATTTTTTATGCCTACAAACTTAGTGTTTTTATTCAAGTCAAGAATTTTTGTCATGTTTAGTTTACCAAAGGAACCATAAAATTGTTTTGCAGTCCTGTGTCCGTGGGCTCTCTGTAGTTCCTGGCTGCCAAGCTACTGACTCTCCCCCTGGTAAACGACTGTCTTGTATACAGCAAGAAAATTGTCTTTCCTTTTCTGTTGTCACTAACCTTTGTCAATTCTTTCACTCTTTCTCTAGTCTTCCAATACCATTTCTTCATTTTCCACTCATTCTATTGCCCATCTTCCTACTCCCTTTATTGTTTTGCTCAAAGTGCTTCTTATCTGTTCACTGGCCCTTCTGTGTTTTGCAACTTTCCATTCTCCTTTTTTACCAATCAACCCAGGTCTATAATTCATTTTTGTGTGATCCAATCCACATTCTTTACTTGAGTTACCTTATTTTGTTAGTGCATTTCTTAAGTCATTGTCACTTACTGCATCAACATAGCTTATGTTGAATGATCCATATATATATATCTGCTTAGAATTATCTATATGTAAACGTCTTTTCTGGATATCTTGTCAAAAATACTTTCCCATCACTTTTATTTCTCCATCTTGTCTTCTTGATTATTTTTTCTTATCTTCCCATTGGTGTACCCTAACTTTACCTTATTCCCCACTGCCCTCGGCAAGAGGGTGCCCTACACCCAGAGCCTGGGGTGTGCTAGCAGAGTAAGCCGCCTCCTTGCCCCCGAGGCCTACTGGGTGAAGGCAGACCCTCAGCTAACCACAGAGGGTTGGAAATCAGAGCTTCATTCCTCCCGTTGACTTCCTCTCAACTCCCCCCACCCCACTTTTTTCTCAGAACATTTAAAATACATGTGCTTATTGAACTTTAGAATTAAATGAGATAATACATGTAAAATGCTTAGAATAGTACATGTTCACATTAGGCATTCGATAAATGTTAACATTTTTATTTTATTAGGCAATTTTTCTGTTCTATATGCTGCACTCCAATTATTTGCATTACATTATTGCTCTTTTACGCCTATTATTGTATATTGAAAATCTGTAAAGATGATTTCACAGACAATGACTACCAAGAGTAGGAGGAGATACAGATAATGCCCCTTTGATTTTCTCAAAGATTTCGTCATGAGACTAGTTTGAGTACGGGGAATGGTCTGGGAAAAGCAAGAAAAATGACGTGTTCCTCTGATTATATCTTCAGAAGGGCAAAATTATTAGAATGATTGATTTGTAGGTTCAGGCTTTTAATAGGTAAGAATTGATTGTTCAGAAGAGCAGTGAGTTCCATGAAATTTAGTCCCCTTAAAAGGTACTCTATACTGTTTATTTTAACCAGAAAGTTGTCACTGAACAATTAAATGTGAGAATTTGGGCATAACTTACATGAGAGTATGTTTAAGGATATCTCTGCGCGCAACACTGTAATAAAAGATGACTCAGAAGGCATACTGAGTTGGCTTACATCCTACCTATCTTCAGGAAATGCCCATAGATACCTCCTGGGATTGTTTCTTCCACTGGAGGAGAAAGAAGTCCATCCTCAAAGTACAAGCAATCCTTCCTTCACCATTAAGGTTGAAAGCAAAAGTTAAGAGCCATTCTTAAGACACATACATTCTGGACAGAAGAACGGAGAGAATGTAAGGCGTCTGTGTCTTATCCTAAAGACACAGAGAACAGTGCCATCTATTCACTGCCCTGACTGTTGAGTAATAGCCAAAAGATGCTATAAGGCATTTAAAGAGAGAAATTGCATTAATAAATAAGAAATCTGATCTATTTCTGTCAACAAATTAAAACCAAATAACAATGAAATACTTTATACTAAACTAATAATTCTGTAATTAGGTTTTATCAAATTTGTCTTGTGAACTTTTGAGTTTTTCACTTAACATTATCATACTCCGTTGGCATAATGGTCTCTTTAAAGAGTCACTACCATGGCTAGAGTTGGGCAAAGTCACTTTGTAACGTGGTCCAAATGCATAGTATTCTTCTTAGTGGTCATGTCTAATCGTCTCATTTTACTTCTGGAAAACAAATTTCTTAACGAAATTTGAAAATGAACCCTGGAACTTTAGTCCCCACGCTTTGGATGTGTATGCTGTGTCATATGAATTTCCTTAAAGGTACTGTTGTTCAGAATAAACGAGTGACCGTTTTTAATTTTTTTGAAGTTGGATAATCAGAAACATTTTTGAATGAAGAAAATAGTTTTGACTAAAGCCATATAAGCAATTCATGCTTCCACCTCTTGTTTTGCCATTCTAATAGTTTATTCTGATCATCATTGAAATCCTTATAATTTATACCTTGCCAGATGTTCTGCTACTGCTTCTTATGAGCCAAAGAAACATGCATTTGATTTACCTTTAAGTAGATGAAACATTGGCAGGTTTTTGTCCCATGACACTTACATGGGACTGAACCTTGCAAAAGGTCTTAGTATCTGCTAAGACTTGGTCCCGGGACAGTGTGAAAATGGGGCTGCTTTTGTCCCACGGGCTGTTGAACGTGACTGCTCCAACAGTTGCAGTGTATCTCGCTTGCCTGCTTGCTCGCTTCCTCTCTTTCCACCTCTGTTCACCCTAAAGCTAATGAGGAGAAATCTGATTGCAGACCGATTCTTACCTGAAGGGTCTGATGTCAGTAAAACGGGCTTTGGCCAGAACCATCACTTGATAAGGGACCCCACGGCTCTCCATTATTTTGGGGTTGAGTCTGTATCTCTAATCACGCAGTAGTCCAGCGTCTTGCTGTGAACATACCATCCTTTGGGCACCTCATGAACTCATCCAGCCGTGAGGAAAGTTGAATTATGATGGTCCTGGGTTCCGTTAGATAATAACATCCTCTCCCTACTTTTCTCTCTTATTTCTGCTTTGCTCCTTCTCCTGAACCTGCTTTGGGCTTTCCTCCACTTGCTCCTCTGGCGCTTTTGTGTGTAAAACAATCACCTGCACCCTAGTTATCCCCATTTGTCCTCGTTCAGCATCTTGCAGCCCCATCAACACCATGCCCTACAAAGCTGCACACTCTAGGAATCCGATGGAGCGACCAAAACTCTTTGTGACAGCACCCGAGGGCTCCGCACGCCGGAAGACCATTCACGGCAGCTCGGTGAGTACTCCCAGGAGCAGATGCCAACCCTCCAATCATCAGCGTGAATCTGCCCGTCTGGGCAGAGGTGCCCCACTCTGTGCCTGTCTCACAAACAGGTCCATGTGAAAGAGAAAACTGCATTCTTTGGGTAAACCCGCGTCAGTGCTGGCATCCCCTGCACAGGCAGCCTCCATCCACAGGAACAGCGGGCCAGAATACTTTGATTTTTGAAAAGGAAGAGAACCAAGTGACCTCTGGAGAGAAAATGGGCCTGGACAGTTTTTCCTCAGCATTGGTTCCAGTCACACTCCAAGCTCAACTAGCCGTTTGTGTGAATTTGGTAAAAAGCCAGAGAAAGAATACTGTATTCTTAGCTAATCACTGTCGAGGCCCAGGTATAAAATATAGTTCAGACAGTATTTGGAAAACACCAGGCATCTGTTACGAAAACTGACCCTTGACAGTGTTGTGCACAGTTTGCCAAGTGAAGAAATTAATGTGTGCTTGTTATCACCTGTGTGTCGGCTGAGCTAATGTTCATTTCCGCTGCACTTTGAGTGGAATGAGGTCATTTGTATGGCTCCGGGAATTTTCCTTCGTTGTTTTACTCTGTGCCTGTGTCTTCCAAGATCCAGACACTGTTCCCTGGTCTTCAGACATCTACCAGTTGATCTAAAGACCTTACAGCCTCTGCCCCATGATAAGACTATGACTCCTTTAATGAAAGGGTAGAACCATTTTTTTAATCTTAATTTCCCAGAGCAATTCAGATTTATAAAGATGGACACTTAAAAGGATTTTGCTTAGGTAATCCCAGGGCTCTGAGACCCACAGGCATTTTCTTTCAAACCCCTTCAGACTTTCAAGAATCAGTGTTTAATTCATGATTGATTCCGGCCTCCAGCCCTTTAAGCCAAAGGTGACGCTGCCTTTGAAGTCTGGTATTTGAAGTCATGAGCCTGCTGAGGATGCAGGTTCCTAGCTGCGACTGAAAGCTCCGCTTACCCCGAGGAGCTCTGGCACCAACCATTGGGTACTCACTCAGGGAGAAAAAGAGCATTTACCAAAGGCACATATTCTTGTGAATAAAAACAAAAATGATCACTCCTTGAGAGAGGGCGAAGGGCTGAGCCTGGGCTAATAGGTTCAGTGGGAGGATGTGCTGTCACATGACCCAAAGCCCCCCTCTCACACACTTTCTGCTTGATGCTTTGCTCTTCCTCCGCTGGGTCCGTTGGCCCCCTTTGCACCTCTTTACAACCAAATGCTTCAGCGAATACACACTCCCACAAAAGTACTAGGGAAGTCAGTCCTGCCCTAGGGTCAGACCCACTGCTGGGCCACAGAGCTCCGGCCACCGGGGCTGATGCTTAACTTTGGGGGAGGCGTGTGAAGAGAGAAGCTGAATTATGAATTGTTTACAGTTAAATTTACTTAGTGCAGAGTTTAGTTTGCTACTCTCAAGTACTTCAGATATGTTTACTGAGACTGATAAACTGGATTTTAAAGTGTATTTCATTTAGATCTAAGTCCAAGTAGCCAAGTCTGACTTATTATGTTGTGTGCTGCCTAATCAGTCCAGATCCATGTGATGGTAGAACTTCCCTTGCAAGCCAAACCCTCCCCCACTGCCATCAAGTCCATTTTTCCAAGACTGTAAATCTTCATGGGAGTCAACAGCCTCATCTTTCTCCTGCAGTGCAGCTGTTGGGTTTGAACAGCTGGCCTTTGGGTTAGCAGCCTAATGGACAGGCCCCAGCAATACCAGGGCTCCTGTATGGTGCCCTAAGCCACAGTGTTTGCAGTAGCAAATTTCCAGGGCTTTCTCTGGGATAGGAGCTGGGTGGGCCCAAACCACCCACCCTCCAGTTAAGAGCTGAGCTCTTGGCCATAGGACCACTATCGCCTCCTTACCCGGGCCAGTGGCTACGATAGTGGGCTGTAATACAGGGATTTATAACCTTTCCACCATCCCAGAAGGTTCTGTGAGACAGCACTACCTGGGAGTATCTGGCAGCATAGTACCTACAACAGGGATTTGTTTCTAACCCGTACCTCGAGTTGTAAAATTAAAGTCTTTCTCTGGGCTAAGTTGTGCTAGTTTCAAATACGGAGGCCCGCAGAGACCTGAGAGTTTGTCTCAGCAGTTGCTCAAGGGCACTGGACCCCTCATCGAGGTTGGGGAGCAAGCTCCAGAAGAGTGTCCAGACCATTGCTGTGGGCAAGTTACTGCATGTGCTCCCTTAAACTCTGTGGACACAACGCCAGCTGTTCCCTCAAATCAGGATGAGAACAGACATGCCCTGTACAGGTGTGGCACTCAAATAGGTGCTTGGACCAATGAAAGTAAATTTAAGAGCGCCGGTGGTGTAGAGATTATGTGTTGGGCTTTGATCCCCATGGTCAGCTGTTCCACACCACCAGCACTCCTGGGGAGGAAGACTGGGCTTTCTGTTCCCATAAACGGTGACAGCCTCGGAAGCCCACAGAGGATCACTATTGAAGATGATGATGGAGCCCTCCCTGGTGGCTGTTGGTTACATGGTGGGCTGTGATCCACAAGGTCAGCAGTTCAAAACCACAAGCCACTCTGCAGGACAAAGATCAGGGTTTCTATTATTCTTAACAGTTAGAGTCTCAGAAACTCACAAGGGCAGTTCCATCCTGTTCTATCGGGTTACTATGAGTCAGCACTGACTCTGGCAGTGAGTTGGTTTTTGGAAGGAGATGTAAAATATACCTACCTGCAGGGTGTTGTCTGCAATGGTGTAAAGTCACATCAAGAGAAAACCGGTATCATAGAACAGAACTTTGAAGTCACAGAAGAGACCAGGCTTTCTGGTCGGATGGAAGCTGGTGCATCGCACGAGACTCTGCCACTTACCATTCAGGGTGCATCGCACGAGACTCTGCCACTTACCATTCAGGTTGGAACTGAAATCATCTTGTTGGCCAGGAAGCAAAGGGCAGGGATTGTTGTCACTGTTTCTGCCAAAGACAGAGGCCAGGTTAATTTGAGAAACACTAAATTTTTTCTGTAACTTGAGACAGGAGGAAACTATGGGGTTTGTACCTCCCAACTGCTTCAAAGATTCAGTGAAAATCAAGCAAGTTATAATACCTTAAACTATGACCCCAAAACAGGCTTTGCGAAAGTCTCAAAAGATAGATAGATAGATGATAGATAGATAGATAGATAGATAGATAGACAGCTAGATAGATAGACAGCTAGATAGATAGACAGACAGACAGATAGCTAGATAGATAGACAGACAGACAGACAGACAGACAGACAGATAGACAGACAGACAGACAGATAGATGATAGATAGACAGACGACAATAGAGGACCCCAAACACGGAGCAGACTTCACAGGAAAACCACCTACAATTCCCCTAGGGATTATCAAACCATCAGCTTTGACTTTTCTCCCGGAGCTGTCAGACATGCGCCCCCTGAGGGCTCAGGCACTGTTCCATCTCAACAGCCCTGTTTGCTTTCTTCCTGCGTTAGATCATCATTTACTGATTAAGTTTTAAAGGAATTTTTTTACTACACTGGAGGGGGCTGTTACATTTGGATTTTTTAACAGACCTAAATCTTAAAACTGTGCTAATTTCTATATTTTATTTAGCAGCACGATCACTCTTTTTGCCCTTTCCCCATAATTCTGCCCTTGCCCCATCAACCTCTGTGTTAGATAATAGTCCATTTAACATGGACAGGGCAGCATTTCTCCAAGGACAGAGTTCAGAGGGCTAAGAAAAGACGAGGAATAGAAATGGGAAGTAGGGAAGACGTGGACTAAGTGGACTGGATTGCAGTGGATGAACTGAATCGGCATGTGTATGAAGTTTGGAAGGTGAGCGTATGTAAGCATCCACGTAATTCACAGTCAACGTGTTTACTAAAAAGAGGACAGCAGAATTCAAGGACCTGAAAATGGTGAGAAAGGGAACATCGATTGCTAGTATTGAGCATTTTCCTAGCCTCCACTCCCTGCTTCCCTTGTCCCTGGGTCAGTTTTGGATTTGTCACAGTGGTTGCACACTAAGGGATTATTGGGGTGACACGGGCAGCACGTCATCTTGTTATGTATATGGTCACTGAATCAGAGCTGACTTCAGTTTTTGGAGAGAAATATAACGGACGCAATGACCTGTTTAATAAAAAGCCTTTCCAAGGATAGCATGCTTTAAATAGAGATGCACTTCCTGATCCCTGTGCACCTGCCAGGGGACCCCAGAGGACCCCTGACTGCAGCTTCTGCCACCCGAGGACTGCAGCTGTCGTCTGAGGCCTCACCTCCTGCCTACTGGGACCAGGGGGCCACACTCTACCGAACTGGCACACACTTTGGGAAGCTCGTTCCTCTCTCCTCTTTTGTTGTGTTTCGAAACTACAGGAAGACATCAGATAATATTTGACATTTAGTGCAAATGGTTGAGTGCTCAACTCCGAGCCGAAAGTTTGAGCTTCAAGGCCACCCAGAGGGGTTGCAGAAAAGAGGCTTCATCATGCTTTCTGATGGAGGCTTGGAAGGTAGAAACGTTCGCCTCTGGTCTGCAGACCTTGGGCTTCCCTCCTGAAGGATTTGCCAGTCTACCAGAAGACCTCGCTCCCTCTCTCCAAGGGTGCTTTCTCCGTGAGCTCTCCAGTAGAAAACTGCCAGGGCAGGCGCTGGTGCAAGGCCTGTTTGCACCATCCGCCCAGCAAAGTGGAGGAATGTCTATTGGAGCAGACACACAGATTTCCAAAAAGACAGACTGAGCTATGGCATGTTCCAGGGTTTAAAAAAAAATTTTTTTAACTTTAAGTATGAAGGGTAAAGTCCTGTTTTTAATTGAAAGATGGGGGGAACGGACATGACTGTTTGTTTTTCTATTGTGTGTGGGGTAAACCAGACTAAGATTTTGCATCTAATTTTAGACGAAAATAAGCATATAGTATATGTACGATTTTTTTTTTCCAAAAGTAACTCCATCACACATCCAGAAACTCATTAGTGTCCTGTTGTGTTGATTCAATTAGATAAACTCTTCAGATTTAAGCTCACGAGAGCTCTATGTTGGCCTGGACTGAGTCTATGAGGTAGAGTTTTAAATTTCTTCCCAGAAAGTATGCAGTAGACTGCGGCTCCCCTGTTGAACACAGATTGTCTGTGCGGATGCCTTGCTCCTGGAAGAATCTAATCGCTGTGTTCCTCTGACCGTAGAGCTTTAAGAGAGAAAAAGACAGAGAAAACATCCCTTTCCATCTCACATCTGGCTTCCGACGGGCTTTATCTCCATCTCTTCCCAAAGCAAGACCACCAGCATCCTCCCGACTTTGGTAAGTGCTCTCTCACAGCCTGACCGGGCTCTCCCAAGCGGGACAATCAGTGCCTCTGTGTTCCGGAAGGAACGGTTCTCCCCACACTCTTAGCCTCTCAAGTGGGACAGGCAGTCTTCCTTAGAGGAGGGCGGGGAGAGTGGAACTCGCTTTGACGCAAGCGTATGACTGGGTTTGCCAGGGCGGTGACAGCGCTGCCGTGGTTGCTGTCAGGGCGGCTCTCCCTCGTGGCAGACTTCCTTCGTATACCAGAATGCCAGCTCCTTGGTCTTTCATATGTCCGAGCCCCAAAATGCATGTGTTCCGAATGCTTCCCCTGCTTTGCCAGGAGTTGGTGTTCTAGGCCACACCTGTGGCACGGCCAGGGCAGGCGGAATAAAGGCTCTGGCAGGCCTCTCCTGATTGTCGTCTTCTTTCCACGTTGCTTGTTTGTTGCCCAGGCTGCCATCCAAGTCCTTTCCTCATTTGCCTGGCACACCCAGACCAACCTCCTCCCCGTCTCCTGGCTCCACCAAAGCTGCCGCTGCCCCTGCACAGGCCCGGCCCCCGTCCCCCGGCAACATCCGCCCCGCCAAGAGAGAAGGCAAGGTGGAGCCGGAGAGAGAACCTCAGAAAGCTGCCAGTGAGTCCACACTCAAGGTCAGGGCACCTTTAGTGAAGGTCGAAGAGGTCACTGCTGAGGAGGGGACACCTGCCGAGCCGGAAGCTGCCCCTGGTAAGAATTGTCCGGGTTTAGTAGGTATTGGCACTCGTTTTGGACTGTGCTGTTTTTATTCTAATTCTTTTCTTACTGGGGCCGTTTTCTTAACTCTGTGTGGGAGCCCTGGTGGCACCGTGGTATAAGCATAGGATGGCTAACCGAAAGGTGTGCGGTTCTCACCCACCAGCTGCTCCAGGGGAGACAGACAGGCCACGCTGCTTAGGTAAAGATTCACCACTTCAGAAACCCTGTGAGGCAGTTCACACTGTCCTGTAGGGTCAGTGTGAGTCAGAATCAACCCGACGGCTGTGGGCTCAGCTTTCAGTGTGGTTTACTTCCATATAGAGGCAGTTCATTCGTACACCCTAAAGCCCAGTGTGTCTGTTCAGCGTGGTGTCCGAGTTTCATCCAGAGCACCTCTGTCATACTGTTGGTTATCTATCTGTGTGTGACAAATTAGCCCCAGATTTAATAACTCAAAACAGCAGCACTTACACATCCTGCCACTCAGGCCCCTGGGTCAGAGATTGGGAAGTGACATAGCTCCTTTCTGGCTCAGGGTCTCTCATGAGGTTTCAGCTAAGCTATCAACTGGGACTGTAGGGACCTGAAGCTCCGAGGACCTGGTGGCCATGGAGGATGGCACACTCTTGGCTGCTGGCGGGAGGCCATGGCATGTGGACCTCTCCAAAGGGTGGCTTGATATCCTTTGGGTCTGGCTGCTGGGTTCCCCCAAAAGGAGTAATCCTGGAGAAAAGAGCAAAAGTTGCAGTATCCTTCATGAGCTACTCCAAAGTCACAGGCCAAGGTGTCTGCCCTCATCTCATCATTAGTAGCAAGTCCTGGGGCCAGCTCGCACTCCAGGGAGAGGGTTTTATGCTCCCGTTTTGAAGGAAGGCATTTCAAAGAATTTGTGGAAATCTTTTGAATCTGCCACATCTGTCATGTTTCTTATACTACAGATCCTTGGGCTCAGACCTACTGGCTCAGAATATCTGGTAGATCTGGTAGGACAATGGTTCTCAACCTTCCTAATACTGCACCTCATGCTGTGCTGACTCCCAAGCATAAAATTATTTTCGTTGCTACTTCATAACTGTCATTTTGCTACTGTTAGCAATCAGGTGCCCCTGTGAAAGGGTCGTTCGACCCCCAGTGTCACGATCCCCAGGTTGAGAACCGCTGTGCAGTAGACCCTAGGACTCTGAAGGAGAGCAAGCTCGTCGGTTGAGCCGCATGTCGTGTCGGCAGAGAAGCACAGGATGGGCAGTCAGAGCCCGGACCTCTATCCTGTGCATACCAGTGTTTAGGGACCAGGGTCAGAACATGTTCCCAAAGGCCCAACTCCAAAACTACACTCGCAGCCATCAAGTCAGCTCTGACTCATTGCACCCCAGGAGGACAGAAGAGAACTGCTCCTTTGGGCCTCCAAGACTGTACATCTTTACGGGAGCAGAGAGCCTCATCTGTCTCCCGCAGAGCAGCTGATGGGTTTGAACTGCCTACTTGGCAGTTCTCAGCCCAAAGTGAAAACCCACTGTGCCACCAGGCTCGTCAAGAGGTTAAAGTCACCTGGAGCTGAGAAGTCAACACTTGTTGAAAGCTGTCTTCCTTCCAAAGTGTTCTCCTAAAGACTTAACTCAAAGATGGAGGGTGGAGGCGACACGGTAGAGGAAAGGGAAAGAGTATTGTCAGAGAAGGGACGAACCCAGCGTTTGCTTGCCTGGAGAGCAGAGGCAGGAAGGGCCAAAGGGTGCTGTGTTGGGAAAGAAGAGCTGAAGTCTTCCGGTGATGGTAGTCAGCTGGCATAGGCTGCAGCTCACCGGAGGCATGTGGCGAGCACCATGCCGTGCTGCCGGCCATCTTTCTAAATGTAAATGAGGTCAGAAAGCCTGGGCTGTCATCTTGTGTGAGCAGTGGGGGTGCCAGCTTGTACAAGCAGAGGCTTTGGGGAGACTGTGAGGCCCTCTCTGTTGGGTACCGTCTTCCCAGCCTGGACCTGGGCCCATGGCACGGGCCCTGAGAGTGCTTCTAGAAAAGCTTTAGTGCTCTGCTAGTGAACGGTCACCAGAGGGTGGGCATTTCAAACATACCACAGAAGACAAACGGCAGATCTCATCTTCTCTCTGCCCTCTGTAACTCCCACAGGACCTAACCTAAGCTCTGTGTACTCAGCACACAGCCGACATATGCTGTTAACTGATTTCACTTGCATGGAACTGAGACTTTGGAGACAGAGTGGCAGCTCCTTTGGATGTCTCACTTACACACGCAGCCTTTGGTTATCTGTTGCCGGGTTACAGAGAGAATACAGTGAGACCGTGAGAACACACAGCATTAAACATTCCCTTTTCTTTCAGAAGGATGACGTCTAGGCCTGGGGTGTGGGGAATGCTCGTTTTTGTTTTGTTCTTTGGGTTTTGTTTCCAGTTGATTTTCTCCTTGTACCTGTTTGTGCAGCTGCTCCAGCCCCGGCCCCAGCCCCAGCTCCAGCCCCAGCCCCAGCCCCCTCAGTGACTGCCAGTCCATCTACTAAGACCTCTGCAGGCACCACTGACCCGGAAGAGGCCACAAGGCTGCTAGCAGAGAAGAGGCGGCTGGCTCGGGAGCAGCGAGAGCAGGAAGAGAAGGAGCGCAGGGAGCAGGAAGCGCTGGAAAGGTAGAGGAGGAAGCCATTGCTCGGACGGATCCCAGGGGTAGCAGTGAGCCCTGGGGAAAAGGGTCCAAAGGCAGGTGCACTAAGAGCCTGGAATGCCTCTGCCCTGGTGGTCCTCGGACCATGAATGGGTGTTTTGTAAAAGGCATTGTCTTATTCTGATGCTAACTCCCAAGCTGCTTAGTGGAGAAAGGCTCAAAGAAATGAATGTCTGCATGTTAGCAGCTGTCAGTAACTGTGCGCTTTGGTTGGTCCTTCCCGGTCCCTGTTTACGGGGTTGCGCGCACACGAGTTTGTCTAGCTACAATAGAGGTGCCGCTGTTTTCACCGTACACAGCTCCAAGTTCCACCTTGCCTCAGTAACTCACTGCCCCATGATGGCCTGCCAGACCCCATGCCAGAGAGTTTGCTTGGTCATTTGCCTTCCGGGGCACGTAGGGCAAACGTCAGCATGAATGTTCTTCACACAAACAAAACTGCTGGGTGGCTCTCTTGGAAGGGCCCTGCCCTCAGGCCCAACGTGGAGCAAAAGTAGCCCACCCTCCTCCTGTTCTGTTCCAGTAACGCCTGTCCTCAGTGGAAGACAATGCAATGGCCTTTATTGATGTGAAGGCACCTTATTAATAAAAGTGCTTTCCTTTAAAGATCGTTAAATTGCAGATCTTTAAAAAGAAAAGGCTTCCCTCCAGAAGTCCTGTACGTGTCCCGTGTGGGCGGCATGAAGGCCGGGCAGGGGGAAGGCAGGTTGAGGAGCCATCACCTCTGGTGATGCTGGACGCCCATAGTGGAGGCGCTCCTGCCGGGCCTCTGAACAGGCCGCCCTGGTGGTCCCCAGTCACTCTCCTCTGTGTGCCTTGGTTCCAGACACAAGAGGGAGGAACTGGCTCAGAGGGTGGCCGAGGAGAGAACCCGGCGTGAGGAGGAGGTGCGGCGGCTGGAGGCCGAGCAGGCCCGGGAGAAGGAGCAGCAGCTGCTGCGGCAGGCGGAGGAGCGCGAGCGGGAGGAGATGGAGCGCGCCCAGAAGCAGGTACAGGCCTCTGGGCGCCAGCGGCCACCCTGCCTCCCCGTGTGGGTGCCCCCGAGAGGCCGGGGAGCTGGCAAAAACCAGCCTGTTTGTAGAAAGGAGCCGTCGACGTTTCGTTTCCAGAAAGAAGAAGAAGCGCGTGTGCGAGAAGAAGCAGAGAAGGCCCGGCAGGCACGAGAGAAGCATTTCCAGAGAGAAGAACAAGAGCGCCTGGAGAGGAAGAAGGTAGCTGTCCCGAAGGAGCGCGTGGGGGCTCGAGCCCTCGAGGACCAAGAGCCCCGCGGTGTCCCCCACGTTAATCAACTCAGTGGCTCTCGCTACTGGTGACACCACCACCCCAAAGCAATGCCCCGGCTTCGCCGTTGTTCACCCGCATGCACTTCTCTGTGCGGGGCAGGCGTGCCCCTCGGGCCGGTAACTCCAGATACAGCCGGCAGCAGAGACCCCACGTTCCCCACAGCACAGCAACCGTGCTTTGCGTCCTCTGCCGTTTGCGTCATCGGGGGACGTGCCTGCGGCTCTCTCCCTCCCTGACCCTCGCTCCTTTCCCTCCCTCGTAGCGACTGGAGGAGATCATGAAGAGAACCCGGAGAACAGAAGCTGCAGAGAAGGTATGGAGAGGGCCGTTTTCACCGGGGTCCTGATAGCTTTGTGCCCCTTTATTTGTAACTTTAATGCTTAAAGGGTTTTTGTTTTGTTTCCTTTTGGCAGAAAACTCTTGACCAGAGAAATGGAGATATAGCCAAAGGCGTTCTTACTGGAGAAACAGGTATTTATTCCAATGGCTTTCAATGATTTAAATGTGGAGCTTTTTTGATCGGCTCTCTCGGGTCAAGATACTCATTGGTGGACTTGCATTTACTTAGACACCCACAGAGCAACAGAGACACGTGTCATCGAACGCACACATTCTCGCGCATGTCATGCTCGGGAGCACGCTGGCAGAGGATTTGGCTTTGCTTGTTTCCTCACCATTTGTGTCTGCAGGGAAACCTGTCAGAGCCAGACCTCCACAAGTTCGCCTTGCTTTTCTGGGTTCGACGGTTCCCCCACTCCCCACACCAGACAGTGTGCAGCCTTACGACTGCTGTTGCTCATATTAGTGGACAGCACACGTGTATTTGTGTTGCCTTCTCCCATACGTTTCCACCTTTCACAGCTCTAGCTTCACAGGTTTTACTGCTCTGCCAGCACACTCAGGAGCCCTGGTGGTATAATGGGTTATGCGTTGGGCTTCTGGTGGCAAGGTCAGCAGTTCAAACCCACTAACCACTCCACAGCAGTGAAGTGGGGCTATCTGTCATCATGAAGATTTACAGCCTCGGTGAGGTTGCTGTGAGTGGAACCGACTAGTGGCAGCGGGTCATGGAATGTTTAATAGCTTAAATCAGTTTATGTTTCAGATCGTTCGATTTGTGTCATAACCCGCTGCATGACCAGGGCGCCTAGTACACTCCTATGTTTCTTCTATATGTGGTAGGATGATAAGGCTGGCCGCTCCTGTAAAGATTTACAATCTTGACGAGCGTCTATAGCATTCCTATGAGCCAGAATCAAGGCAGTGGCCGTGGCTTTAGTTTGAGGGTTTAGGGTTTATGTATTTATAGAGGCTGTCTATAGATACTTTAGGAGTCCTGGTGATGTATTGGTTACGTGTTGGGCTCCAGTCCACATGGTCAGCAGTTCTAAACCGCTAGCCACTCCACAAGAGAAAGAATGGGCTCTCTACTCCCATAAATAGTTAAGTCTCAGAAACCCTCAGGGGAGTCGCTATGAGTCAGCATTGACTTGATGGCAGTGAGATTGGTTTTTTTCATAGATACTTAGGACAAGATTTTTTATTCCTTGGTGATTTTAAATCAAACTTAAATAAAAGCAGCTGGTGGATTTGAACCACCAACCTTTTGGTTAGTGGCCAAGTATGTGCTTAACCACTGTACTACCAGGCACGGAGCGAAGACACAGCACATACCAGCGGCCTTCAAAAAGTTCATGGGAAAAGACATTAAAAGTTGACAGAATTTTTCCATGAATTTTTTTTGGGGGGGGGAGGGGGGCACACATTTCCATCTATAGCAGATGCGTAGAATCAGCCTGACCAAGTCATATGGCTATGTTCACTAATTGTTTCGAGGTTAATGAAATTTTTTTGTCTAGAGTCAATCTAGTATAAGCAAAAGTAATAAGAACCATTATTTCAGTCCTTACAATGTGCTGGGCACTGTACTAAGCACTTCACATGCTATATTATTAATACATTTAATTCTCACAATAGCCTGTGAGGTGTAGGTACTGTTGCCCACAAGGAAACTGAGGCACGGAGTGTTCGAGTGACTTACACAGGGGGATGGTAAGTAGCAGGCATGCCATGAATCCACCGTCCTGCTCCATGGAGAGTGGCTCTGATCCTACAGTCTTAGTAACCCCTAGCTCCCCTCCTTGGCTTTGTCTAACAGGATCTGACCTTCCGTGTAAGACAAACTCTCCTGGAAGTGGAGAAGCAGTGGCCAGCCCACACGTGGTGACCTCACACCAATTGACAGCGACTGTGGAAAGGTGAGTTAAATGATGAGGGTCTTTCTTTAACCACCAGCACACACTCATGTTCTCAACAATCCCAGCAGAATTTCCCATGCTTGAAGGAATTTCAGCGTTTTAATGCTAAGAGTCCTTTTTATTCGGGTTAATTCTTGGCAAAGCTAGAAATTCTGTCCTTTAAAGGGGGGGAAATAACTTTACCTGAGTCCTTGAATATTATGTTAACGTTTTAGGGTGGCAAAGACAATTAACAGAGAGTAGTTTGTTAGCCCTCTCTATCTGCCTCCTGGCCTGCACCTCGTCCTTACCCTTAAAGTGCCCAACAGTTGTGTCGTTGAGGTGCCTGTCAGGTTACCGCGAGTCGCAGATTTGTTCCAAAGTGATAAGTAGCAGTGTGATGCCGCATGTTTTAGGTACAATGTTAGCCGCCAGGCTTCTGAATGAAGGAGCAAACGTTTGCTGGCAACAGTCACCAGAGGGGTGTTGAAGACAGGCTGCCCCCTGCTCATGCATTTATCTCAACCATGGTACTGAGCACCTTCAGCTGAGAAAAACACAAGTGGTCATAGGCTATGCCTAACAAGCCACTTACAGAGAACAGATGGAAATAGTTATAGCAACGTGGAAACAATTTAGCTACGACTTATTCTTTGAAAAAGATACATCAATAGATGTGTATATGTATTAGTCCCCTTAGTTTTAGTTGTACCTTGACTTTATTTATGTGTATAATATGTATATGTGTATGTGTATAATACATATGTGTGTATATTATATGTGTATATGTTATATATGAGGAGCCTTGGTGACATAGTGGTTACGTGTTGGGCTGCTAACCCCATGGTCAGCAGTTCAAAACCACTAGCTGCTCCTCGGGAGAAAGATGAAGCTTTCTACTCCCATCAAGATTGGCAGCCTTGCAGACCCACAGGGCCAGTTCTACCTACCCTGCCCCAGAGCACAGAGCCCTGAGGGCGCGTTGAGTGAGAACTGACTCGATGGCAGTGAGTTTGGAGTTGTGTGTGTGCGTGTGTGTGTGTTAATAATGTATGTGTCTGTATCTATATATAAATTATATGTCACATACATAATTTACCATGTTCGACTTGCTCATGAAGGAGTTGCAGGTCTTACAAAGGAACAAAACGTGCCCCTGCAGGGACCCCACTCCACAGATCAGGAGATGATGCCACCACGCTGTCAGCCCCTGAGCATTCACTCTGATCAATAAGATTTCATTTCTCCTCTAGTTAACTCTTCGCAGAAATGCCATCACCAAAAATGTAACCACTATAAAGGAACTGATCCACAGGCAATATGGCTCAGATCCAGAGAGCTGGAGCTCAATGAGCCAGATGCAGGATCCAGACCACCAAGAACCAAGCAAGCTCCCCACAGTGTCAACTTATATGGAAAGCAGGCCACGCTTTCATGGAAACTTCATCAGGGCTGGGACCTGAGTAAGGGAGTTACATTGCACTTTAATCTTCTTACAAATGATTGGCAGCATACAGTAGATGCCATTGTGGAGTCGATTATGCTGTGTTAGGTATCATCATAGGGAATCACTAGACCTTGATACCAAACCAAGGAGTCCTGGTGGCATGGTAGTTGCCCTTTGGGCTGCTAACCCCAAGTGCAGCACCTCAATACCCCCCCCACTCCATGGGAGGAGAACGAGGCTTTCCACTCCTGTGACGAGTTACAGTCTTGGAAACCCACAGCAGTGGTTCTACCCCAGCATATAGCATCATTATCTATCCAGACTGACTCATTAGGAGGGAGTTTGGAGATTGGGTTTTAACTGCCAGATCATTGAGAATCCTACCCCAGCCAGATTGACATAAAACCTGACTGTCGCCTCCAGAGTTTCTCATTATCCTACCGGTCAAGGAGGAGATAGAAAATCTGCTCATTGACTTGCTAAAGGGCCAGCAGCTCCCGTTGCTGAGACGGTTGCTGCCATTGCGTGCTGTCTGCCTGATCTGTTGTCTGTCTCTGGATAAAACCTCACTCTGCAGCTAACTGTCCATTTATTACACGTGTCACAGTGGGTTAGGTGGAACCTTCTTAATGTCTGCTTCAAGTTTTTAGTCTCTTTTCCATTTAGGAGTTTTCACGCTGGGACTGCGTAACATTGAGTCAGTTTTCATGCATCAGCTTGACTACTAAACAAATCAGGAAGCCGCGGGCACATGTACAGCGGCGCTCACTAAACTAAAACGAAGCCAGCCCCTCTCAATGCAGTCACTGTGCCCGGGCGGGCCTGTGAATCCAAAGCAGGTGATCCAAATAGCTGGAGATGGGGAAGAGTGAAAATCTTAAGCGTGGCTGTAGACAGAAAATAGAGCATGTACACAGGTACAGCCAAGAGCTGGAAACACAGAGTTCAGGACAGAAAACCCCTCAGGACCTATGTTGAGAGTAGCCATACCAGGAGGGTAAGGGGAAGAGGTGGGGAGCTGGGGGAACCAATCACAATGATAACCTATAACCCCTTCCCAGGGGGACAGACAACAGAAAAGTGGGTGAAGGGAGACATCAGTATAAGACATGTAAAAATAATAATTATTATAAATTATCAAGGGTTTATGACGGAGGAAGGCAAAAAATGAGCTGATACTTAAGCTCAAGTGCAAAAACTGTTTGGAAAATGATGAGGGCAACAATGTACAAATGTGCTTGACACAATGGATGTATGGATTGTGATAAAAGTTGTACGAGCCCCCAATAAAATGATTGATTAAATAAATAAATAAAATCATCTCTAGAAACCAAAAAAGAAAAAGAAAATGGAAGATATGGTGGCAAGTCAAATACACGTTCATGATAAATCCAAAATAGGAAGCATGAATGCGTCCATGAGAATCACGGTGGGTCTAGAGGCCCCTTTACAGGGAGGCGAAGGGGAGGTTGGCTTTGAACCATGTACTTAATGGACTTGTGCAGCTGTTCTACCAGGCGGAGACACCCAAGAAGAGCTAGAACGTGAATAGCCAGAGTGTACACAGTGGCCTAAGGAGAAAAATATGCATTAATTCTGACTGACACTCAGTAGCTGTGTGACTTTTTGTCTAAATCATGTAGCCCCTTGTTCCCCTCCCCCAAATTACAATCCACTCATTATTGAAGTGAAGGTCCTGGTGCGTGCTACTCTTTGTCAGACAGATGGGTGTGCAAATGCAGACCCACAGTAGAAATTGTTTAATATGCAAGGCTGCTGCTGCTGCTGCTCATATATTTTAAATAACTGCTTATTCATTTTATAACAAAAAGTAGAGTTTTTTGGTGTTTCTTTAAAAAAGAATTGAAAATACAGATATTCCAGAATTCACTTTATATTTAAGTAATGATGTAACCAGTCAATCGGACATTTGGTTTGTAAAGCTGTGTAGAACGACTTGTAAACATTTGACTATCCTAAAAATATGCTCCTTCACTTGTGGTATTAACTCACTCTTACTTTAATTTTTCAAATTCCCCAGTACTCCCAATTTTGAAAAACAACCAAATGAAAATGGAGTGCCTGTGCAGAATGAAACTTTTGAAGAAATTATACATTTGCCCGTCGGGTCCAAACCATCCCGATTAGATGTCGCCAACAGTGAGAGCGCAGGAATCCCCTTGAGTCCAGTCTTGGCCTTTGACGAGGAAGGGACGCTGGGGTCTCTCCCTCAAGTCGATGGTGTTCAGACTCAACAGACAGCAGGTAAGCCTAAGCCTGCACACACTCCTCTGTAACCTACGAAACACGTACTGCTCAAGAGGGTGGACCTGTGCGCTCGCTGTCTGCGGCTCACCTTATTCTGTGACGGAATCCCAGCACTCAAATGGGACGTCATACAAAAGCTTGTGGATGGATTGTAGAAATTGGATGTCAGGGTGGATTGGATCATTTCAGGGGTCCCTCCTCCCACACAGTGCAGGATTCTACTGTCATCACACAGAACAGGGCCCCCTCCTAGGGGCGTCTGTACCTTGTGAGTGACCGAGGTTGCTGTTGACGCCTCTGGATCGCTAGGACAGTGTCTCTGCGACTCACATTTGCCCAGAAGTCTTTGTCCAAAAAGAGTGCTTTCTACAGGATCCAGCAAAATCAAGAGCAATATCAAAATTGTTGCAAATGCGCAATGGTCACAGCTGTTGAACAGCATAATCCCATCACAGACTCAAAACCACATGTGGGGAATGCTACCTGGCTCCTTCTCCTTTAATACATTCGCCGGCGTCTCTGTACAGTGTTAAGAGCAGTGCTGGCCAAATTCAGAGGGCTTAATGTGGAGTCTGTACAAAACCATTTGTGACCAAGGTGTTGTACTTGTTAGACCCCATCTGTGAACTTATAACAGATATTTCCCACTTGGAGCTAGTGGAAAAGAACCGTGCTGCCCCACCCATCCCGATGAAACTAGTAATTTTACTTCCTCTAATACAATAACCTTGGGAGAAGAACTTAGCCTAAGCAAGCTCCCCTTCTCCAGGCTGGGAGGGGGAGTTGTAAAGGGGCCTTTCTGGACGTATGTTCTGATTCTTTAGTCTCTGGAAGAAATGGGATTACTTTTCTTGGTGGAATTGCTCCCGATACCACTGCTGCTTTTGTGGTGGCCCGGATTCACAGGGAGGGAACTTCAAGTGTTTGGTGATTCATTTTCCTTCCATCAAGAGTATCGAGTCTTCTGCTGTCACTCCATTCCCATTGACCGCACCCCTCCCATCTATTCTCTGGGAACACAGTCTGGTGCCTTTGATCTTGAGTGGTACTTTGAGGTTAGGACTTTATTTTAAAACATTTGTTTGGAACTCTCAACATCAGTACTGAAGACACAAGATAAATTAAGGTAAGTCATTAGCCTTAAAGAAAAATGCAATTGATACATGCAGTTTAGAAAACCTTAGATTGAAGTAACGAAAGACATTTTTCTATCCTTAGTAGAATTCACTTATATATTTATAAGAACAACAAAAGCCCTAATTAAATTGTCTACTTTTATGTAAAACAATGAGTGAAGGCACGGTAAAGCTTTTAGCTATATAAGACATCCGTGGATTATTCTTTATGTATGACTTCAGGTGAATACCATATAAATCTGCTGTTTCTCTTTCTCTTCATATAGAAGTTATATGAACATTTCTTCCGAAGAACCAAAGCAGAACTCTGGTGAGAATTTCTCTGGTTAAAGGCGCACCCTCCCATCCCGTCCAGTTTTCTAAAGGTTTCTTGAACATTGTTATGAAAACACTTTATTAAAACCAGCTAAAGACAACAGACTGGATAGCTTTTCTAATAATTTTCGCCAATAGAAAAAGAAAATGTTCCTTTTTCTTCAATAATTTAAAATGCCTTTTTTCCAGTGTGCTCCTTGGAAGCAAATCAATATTTTTTCCTGCATTCTTTAAACGAAAAGAACATTTGGCTACAAAAGAAATGGCTGGGCTGGCCAGGCATGATTTTTCACATAAATGTTTTGGTTTTAAAAGCTATAACATGTAAAATTGGCAGCAACAACCCAAAAAATTCCCTTTTACAATACATAGCACTTGAAAAATAAGTACCCCTTGGCTGTACCGGTAGAGTGACTGAAGGTGGTGTGTAAATTAAGCCGGTTTATTGAAATGTTACTGCAAAGAGCTCTATTCTTGGAGGCAAATTGTATTCGGATGACCTGCTGCTTGTCAATGCAACTTGCACGTGGACGGACATCTGCACCCTCCGCTGTCACTGCAGCCTCCTTGCACCTCCTGTGGCGGAAGCACCCTGAGAAGTTTTACAGTGTGTGTGAGAGAGGGGAAAATTATTTTTTCAGAACAAGAAAATAATTTACTACCCACTTAAATGATGTATTTATAAAGTTTTTTCCAGATAAACTAATCAAATAAATTAGAAACCTGTGACAACACTGCAGATTTGGTTTTTGGGATGCACTTGTGTATGTTGGCCATGGGAGAATGTGACTGATGATTCAGGGCTATTTCTAAAGTCTGTGCCCTGCTGTCCTCAGTGATGGAGGGGAGGACGTATCGTTGCCTTACCTGATCACAAGTAATGTGTGTTGGGGCGGGGGGCAGGGGTGGGGTATGAAGACTGAATATGTCTTTAAATAAAGATTTTCAAAAGGATTTGGTTTTGCTCATTTAAGAGCAATGGCAAGATGGCAGACTGTTGACTGCCTGGTGCACAGGCCCAGGTGGGGTCCCCTCCAGGAATGTCCCCCTTCCGCATCAGCTCCCTACTCTGTTCTCCCCTGCCGCAGAGCTTAGCCATACAACCTTGCGCTTTCATTTGCTATCGTGAATCCATTTTATGTTGACATCTGAAAGCCTGCTGAAAAGCAAAATACCGAAGGAGAGGGCGCTTTCAGGGGGCAAGTGTTTTCTGATCTTGGGGAAGGTATTGCGCACACACGTTTGTTTTATTGTAAGAGAACCTGGCTAACGTAGACGGAGGGGAAGACTGGTCATCTACCGATTCTTTCGTGAAAGCGTGAGCTCCCTGTCCCCGGTGAGACAACCACGGCCCTTGGAGAAGCGTATTATGGACTTCCCCCTCAGTTATCGTGTACACATGTCATTGTACTACAAGAGAAACTCATCTGCTCAAAAATGGTTGTATTTGTTCCTGCTGCCTAGCATGAATACAGAGCCCTGGGAGCACCTCAGGTAGGTACTGGGCGGCTTGCTCACCGAGAGGTCGGCAGTTCAGACCCACCAGAGGGCTCAGATGAAGAAAGGCCTGGCCATCGGTTCCCATAAAGGTTTATAGCCCTGGGCCCCCCATGCGCTCTGGAGGGTCGCCCTGAGTTGCAAGTGACAGCGCCCAGCAAGGCACGAAATAACCAGAAAACACTGCTGGAGGTGGGCCTGCTTTTAGGGGTCTCTCACACTGCAGTTGTACCCGGCTGCCCTGCATCCCACCTCAGCGGTCCTTCCCCACCTTCCTGTTGAGCAGCCCCATGGAGTGAGCTCATCCATAGCTGGCACCAGGTCCCTGTTTCTCATTGTATTTTTTGACTGTACAGTCCTTAGCAACTTTTCTGAGTAATCCGTCTTTAAATGGGAAGGGTATAGTGATCTCTCCTTGGTGCAGGACCACACTGTTTAGAGGAGGGCACTGGCCTTGCTAACGGTACCCTTGCTTTCTGTCCAGCACTGCCAGATCAGTAATCACCCGCCTTCCAGGGGTCTGCAGTGGGGCACCACATGAAGGGGAGCAGCTAGGGATTAAACCCAACCCACACCGCGGAACGACGGAAGGGAGATGGGTTTTAGCTTCCTTTGCAGACCACTACAGACTCCCTAGACCACAGGTTCCCAGACGGCGTGTTCAACCACCTGCTTGTCAAAAAAAAAAATTTTTTTTTTCACTCAGCACCCATCCCACCCCCAGTTAATTAATAATTCTGATCATTTTTCCCTAGCACTGGTGGCACAGTGGGTTACACATTGGGCTGCTAACCACAAGGTCAGCAGTTTGTAACCACCAGCTTTCTCTCATAAAGCATTAGTCTCAGAAACACAGGGACAGTACAGCCCTGTTCTGTGGGGTCGCTATGAATCAGCATGTACTTAGTGCGTTAAATGGGGTTTGGGTTATAGCCCATAGTCCAGGATAAAGTGTAGGTATCTGCTTTTGCAAAACCCCCCCCCCATCATTCTAGGTCCCTCTAGGGGGTCAGTATCGTGCACTTTAGGGAACACTGATGTAGGGCAGTTCATGCACTCACCATCCACAGACTTGTTAGGTTTTATGCCAAGACCATTAAACAACAGGATAAAATAGCTTTGGGGTCAAGTGATAAAAGGCTGTTCCTGTGAAATGACCTCGCTCTTAAGAAGCATCGAGACCACCCTACAAACGGTTTTACTTCACACAAACTCCCTTCGATGGGCTCTTGGTTGTGGTGCAGATGCCCTGTGGCCCTCGTTTGCACGGAACTCCAAAGGCCAGCAAGTGGGGGTGAGAAGGGCCTTCATGTGAACAGAGGAGCCCATTTTACTATAAATAAAATATTTTGTTAGACCTTCACTTGAATTTTTTTGTGTTGGTAAGGCTGCTTATGATTTTAGAGTCCAAAGCAATTATAGTAAATAGTGCCAAAATTGGTAACCTAAAGAAAAAAGGTATTTGAATGACTCACTGCCACTGAGTCAATGCTGACTCATAGCAACCCCTTGTGGGTTTCCAAGACTCTTAACTACAAGAGTAGAAAGCCCAGTCTCTCTCCTTCAGAGCTGCTGCTAGTTTCAAACAGCTGACCATTTGTATTGCAGCCCAACACATAACCAGTACACCACAGGGTGGTTACATGTGGTAGTTTAATCTTTGTGAAAGTGTTTCGCCCCGGCCTTATCATCAGCAGAGCTACGGGGTGGTTTTGAACTGCCCACCTTTCAGTTAGTGGCCAGTCACACACTGTGTGCACCACCTAGGCTCATTCTACAAGGTAGGAGGTCCAAACATTCACAAGCCGTGGTCAACCCTCATATTCCTGGGGAAATGGGTGTATTTTTTAAAACAGGCATACGATTACAATCAAAACCTGAGGTCCTTGTGCACATGCCTTTCTTATTCAGTGGTCCCCAGTTCTCTTCTTACCATCATTCCTGTGTCTCAGACCATTTTTAGGGTGCTCCCTACCCTCCCCCCCTGCACAATCTCTGCAGCTTCTGCCATTGTTGGCAGTTGCAGTATTGACACCACCCACAGCAGCACATGATGGATTCGTTTTCACCTGGTTTCGATTCTCAATAGCAATGGAACTCAAAATCTTCAATCTCACCACACCAAAAACTCTGCCTTCGAGTCAGTGCTGACTCAGTGACCTTACAGGGTAGAACAGCCCTGTGAGTTTCCACGACTAACCCTTAATGGGAGTAGAAAGCCCCAGCTTTCTCCTGATGAGTGGCTGGTTACTTTGAACCACTGACCTTGCAGTTAGCAGCCAAACATGTAACCACTACACCACCATAGCTGCTTCTGAATCTCACATGAACGAATAGCCGCCCTGAGATGGAGAGGGGCTGTCAGGAGGGACCACAGACCTCTGACCTGGCTTCAGCTGTACCTCTAGGCCAGGGCAGAGTGGCAATGGCACAAGGAGACACCCAGCTGTCACTAAGGCACTAGGGCCCTACTCTGGGTCACAGCCCTTTCTCTGCTGGGTCCTGTTCCACATAACCCAATGACCTCTTCTTTTCTCACAAAGGAATTTGCAGTTCTTGGCATCAGGAGGAGGGGAGGAAGATAAGAGGCCACGGCAACTCTAGCTCTTGCTAGAATCAGCCCAGCGTGACGGTGACGCTGGCGGGCTCTCGCCCCTGGAGGCCCCACAGCCTTACTTGCCAGGGGAGCAGGAGCGGCTATCAGATGTTATCTCCAACTCTTTCACGTCTCACTCAGCCGCACCTGATTGGTCACACAAGCCTGGAGCACAATTCCTCCCCAGTGCCGACCAATCACAAACTGGAATTCTAGCAAACACCTTTTCTCAGGTTGCTGAGTTGGTACCTCTGGTCAGATAATTCCACTTGTGCATCCTCACACTCAACCTGTCAATCAAGCTTATTCGCCCACCCCCGAAATCAGCTTTACTTGATATTCCCATCTTTTATGCCACTACCCATCTGGTTGTCATGTGTAAGAGACCAGATATCTGACGGGCTTTTTTTATTTTGTCATTCCACATTCAGTTTTAAAGTTTCACTGCCCAGAAGTTTCTCAAACCTTTCTTCACTTCTTTGTGCTGCAACACCTTAGGGTTCCAAAAATGGACCTTTGGGGCCAGTTAGGTTCTTGCCCTGAAGGTTCCCTCGGTTAGAATGTCCCAGAGGCTAACCTAAAAGACAGAGGGTCGCCATGACTGTGAGCCCGTCCCCCTGATCCCTGAATTACCTGCTCTGCGAGTACACAGTCCCCACTAAGACCCTCCGGGCCCAGGAAAGCTCCCTCATCGCCAGCCTTGCCAGGAGGTTGTGTTTATGATGACGCTGGTTTTCTGGTTCATGCTGTTGGACCTATCAGTGAAAGAACACCAGGAGTGTGGAACTCTGTAAGCTTAAACAAGCTCAGTCTGTTGGGTTATGTCTACGCTCACTAGTCTCATGTTAACCACTTCTTCTGAAATATTGGTTGTCTCCAAACTTCCCTTGTCCTAATCAGAGTATTACTGTCTCATGCACGGCCCACTCTCAGAACATTCTGTTTGTTCCTCAGGAAGGGCAGTTGATGAAAGCCTTTTTAAAAAGATCTAGCAAATTATTTTGACTCCAGGTAGATGAGTAATCCAGACCTTAAAAGAAAGAGGCAGTGTCACATCTCATACTATTTTCCTTTCATGTTGAACAGAAACCAAAAGGTTGCTTGTAACCCATTTGCATAGGCAGGCTTTTATATGTTGAATCAAAATGTCATTTTTCCTTTTTGGAGATATGAGTAATAAAATTGTTAAGACTTGTCTCGAACATCACCACACTTAAATGAAGTGTAAAGCTTAGTGGTAATTGTCTCCCCGAATGTAATTCCTGCCGGCCCCACATTAAATAAGTAAATACAAGTATAAAGCCACCACTTAATATGCATTACTATATGTGGTTCTCTGTAATACAGCTTCTATGCATTAGCTCCTTTGATCCTTACAACCCTTTTAAGTGGATATGACTCTTACCCTCCAAGACTTAACAAGGTGAAAGAAAGGTCAGAAGTTCCCGGCCAGGACTAGAGCCAGGTCTGTCCAGGGCATCAGCTTACCGCTGCTGCGCCTTCTATAATGTGATTTCCAAAAGAGGTCCTGGAAATCCATGGGCTCTGCTTTGTGTGAAGAGAAGGGTAGTTTTAGTTCAGATACCAATGTCTTTGGCCTACCATCCCTGTGTTAGTCTGGGTACATTAGAGAAACAAATC